ATTTCTTAGGCTAAATAGGCTCTTGTTTATAGGGGGTATAAATGACCAATTTTAGGCTACCAGGTTCTTAATTTTTAGGTTCTTAGTCGCGGGTTTTTTTGCTGTAACTTAATCAACAGGTATGGCAACTCAAATGCAACTCGAGGTTATTTTTGGTGGGAAATCGCATAGCCACCCTCGTCTTGTGAAGCGGAGACAACTAAAATGTCAATACGCCGCATTTCCCATAATGCACCTAATTTGCCCCCCAAATTTTTTTCATAACCTTTGTTTTTCATTTCTCCTGGGTATTACAGCCGTCCCAAGACAAGTTGGAAATAATGCTCACGCAAAATTTTTGGGCAAATAATATGTATTATGGGAAATGTGGAAGTGTCGTATAAAAGCGAAGACGGAAAGCGGATCCGAACTTTTTCTGGTATCCCTATTGTCTAAAGTATTGATCTTAGATTAATTGTCATGACAACAAATTTGGAATATAGAACAAGAGAAAGACAAAGAAAAAGAGAAAGTAGGAGACAGGCCAGCGAAGCTCAACGAGAAAAAGAGCAACAGAGAGCTAGAGCGAGAGATAAAAAACAAAGGAGACATTTTTTGTTGAAGAACAACATGAAAATTTTGTAGCGGAAATGAGAAATGCTAGCGGCCACCAAAGTAAAAATGAGTGAAAAAAAATAATTGAACAAGTACGACATTTCCTCCATAAAACATGTAACTAGAAGGCTTTTGGAAGTCTCACGTTGCAAAAATATGAGTGTGCTGCACGTGCAAAGTTGCTTATTTGCTAATTAGACCTATTGTTGTATTTTCACCGTTCTCGTTACCTTCGTCGCTTAGCATTACACGATTTCATATTTTGTTTGAGCAAACTATAAATGTTCAGTTGAGAGCTTCCCTTTTAGCCCTGGCTAAATCTATATATTATTTGCCGTGTAACAAAAATGGACTTTGCGGCTTGAACGGTTTCAACTGTAAATGGTAAATATTTATTAACAAGAGCTCGACTTATTTTTTTTTCTTCTTTAACTTCCAGCAAAGCAAACAAAAATGTATCCCAAGAACCATCTCTTGAAAATCAGAAAGGTAAAGTATCCATCTCAAAGCTTCTCCTGCTTCTCGCCCTCGCAAAAAGATCTTAAAGGGGAAAACGCAGCTGATTTAAAAACTCCTGTTCGTTTTATGTATATTTATTTATTTATTTGAAATTCGTACATGATCCTTTAAATTCAAATTCAGACCCAGAACAACTTTGTTGAAATGCGTAATTATTTCTACCTGCACAGTCAATCGACTAAAAATGAAGACTTTGTGATAGCGAGACGTTGCCTAGGCCTGGTCCACACGTATCTGGTGAATCCGGCATACGAATCGGTAAGTTTTTTTAATCCGCTTTCCAGAGTGGATATTTTTGAATACGCTATGAATCCGGAATCGTTTGGACGCTAAATCCCCCCTTTACCGTGAATACTGTATTCATGATGGCAACCTCGACGCATGATCTTTTGCAAATATTCCCAGAGGAGTCCTGGGTACTATAAGGGTGAATCCGGATACGTGTCGGATGATCATGTCGGATACTTGTGGACGTGGAAATTTTTGAATCCGGAAAAAAAAGTTGCTGATTCAAAAATATCCAGATACGTGTGGACGGTGCCTTAGTTTCCTCTAATAGACAACTGGATCCATTTTGAGCCAAAGTGCTTTATTATACTATCAGTTATATAAGGTTATATTCAAGTATTTTCTAGACGTAATAGTTGGAACTCCTCAATCCCAGGGTGGGATTATTAAATGGATTGTTTTTTTTAATACACTGGAAGCTAATGCCGAGTTCCAATTTACTTGAAGGGTTGGGGGAAAGGCAGGGTTGACTTTTTATCGATGTACGTACAAGAAATTGTAATTCTGTAGAACGCCTATGCTGCGTATGAATCTACCCTTCGAACAGTGGCTTGTGAGTAAACCTAATTAATTCCTATTTGGCATTTTTTCCCTTTTTTCAATTTTCGTTTTAGAGTTTTTCTTAGACAACGTTCTTGCAGTTAGGTGAATCTGTCAATAAGCTAACCTAGTTGTAGATTCAATGTGGGAAATTCTCAACTTTAGAACACGATCATGAATAAGCTCAAGAGATTTGTTTCCAAGATTCGTCACAGATCTGGTTCGACCGAGAGAAAAGCAAAGTGAAATAAATACTTACCAGATTATTTTGCGAGTTCGTAGGGAACGTGAAAAGAAATCCGACAATAACAAGATACAATCTGGGAACATAGAATCTATGCTGACTCGGGTGAATTAAGGAATGGATCTCCTGAAAGTTGTATGGGGGTTATCTGTTTCAAAGAGGATTAACCCTTCACTTAAAACTTTGTACGCCTGACCCTTTTCATAAACGGATATGAATTTCATTTGGAATGGTGGATTCTCTTAGTCACGTGACTCGCCACACCCATTTCTTGATTATTTTTATTCAAGTTTACACCACTTTAAAGAAATTTGATTTAATTCAATTCGTTTGCTATTTACGACTTTTCGTACAAGGTTTATGGAACTAATAGGGGTTTTTAGAAATTCATTGTTTTCTGTAAAATGTAACGTTCTCATTTTAGAGAGACTGGGACGAAACAAGACGAGACATATCAGGGTAAAAGTTAGATATCAATGAGGATTCCCTAATTCACACGAGGATAACAATCATGTTGATTTTCTGAGCGCAAACACCAGGACTAGACCAATAATAATAATCCCGAAAATGAAGTAGTCGACTTTTGCCAGTCCCCGCGGACAGGACATACCGAAAATTAAACTATTAAGAACTGAACAAGGAGAATTCTGCACCCTACACTAGTGTCCTTTTCCCAAACTGCTAAAGTCAATAAGACCTTAACGGCAACGGTATTTGTGGGAACATGGTAACATGAAGAAAAAACCTCCCACATGGAAATCATTATTTTTAGATATTTGCGGTTTTCCTCCCGGGTGGGGGGACTCCCTATAATGGCCTATACGGGGAGGCTCCGCCCAAAAGGGGTATCTTTTTTAGGCTTCAGGTATATAAAAAAGTAGGGTTTTTGCTCGTTGAAGTATACGAACGGGTAGGGAAATCTGTCATTTGGGCTGTGAAAGGGTCCAAAGGGCTACCAGATGAATTTTATGGTTTTATTAAGTTGAGAAAACGTTCTATTTTTGTGATTGATTCCTATTTAAGCGACAGTGCATCATTTACAGCAGTTAAAAGGGATGCAAAGTTCTAACCAAGGAAAGTGAAAGGGGTACCATTTGTAAGGTATGCGAAAGGGGTTCCTTTTTTCGTGAAAAATGGTACAGGATTGTAATCGGCTCCTGGTGGTATATAAAAGGGTATGGGGCTGGACCTTGGGGCGGAGCCTCCCCGGATAAAAATTTGTGGAATAGCCAACTCCCCCTCCCTCCCCCCTCCGGGGTTTTCCTCGTACAGTCGACTCCCGATAACTCGAACCTTCAAGGGAAATCGAAAAAAGGTTCGAGTTATCGAGAGCTCGAAGAAAATAGCCGGGAGTAAGGGAAAAAAACAGTTTTCACTGCTTAGTAAACATGTTAAGCACATTTAATTGTAGAAATCTCAAGTGAAAATTAAAAGATACCTCTAGATTTAAAAACAGAACGCAACATAACAAAGCATTGCTTAACTAAATAGAGCCCCGGGAATAGAGCATGTGTTTTACTGTTTTAAGAAGTAAAGCTGTTTCACGTTAAACAACACCAGCCTCCAACCTACAACACGTCAATGGGAAATTCAAAATTCAATGTTTGGGACGCCAGTAGACAGTTGTTTTTTTCCCGACCTTTAAGGGCTCAAAACATGGTTCGAGTTATCGACGGTAAAATTATATAGAAATGATCTGAGGGAAAACAAAAACTACTTTCGAATTAGTGGGAGGTTCGAGTTATCGAGGGTTAGAGTTACCGAGGGTAAAATTACAATAAATGTATGGCGGAAACCCAGGGGAAATCGATTTTGGTTCGAGTTAGTGATAGGTTCGATGTAGGGACCGGTCATTATTTATCTCCTGGAGGGAGGGGGACGGAGGATTTTAGGGAGGATCACTTGATTTTTAGGAGAACAAAAGGGGGGATCAGTCGTAACTTAGAGCCCAAAAGGGGGGATCACTGAAAACGTTGGAAGGATTCAGAGGGGCGCCACTCAAATTTGCTTGGAAAATGAAGACATGGGGGAGGGGGGGGATTGCAAAAGTCATCAACAGTTATCACTTTAGTGAAGTAACATTCAAAGGGGGGATCGGCTAAATTTCGCCTGGTTTAGCCCCAAATCCTCCGCCCTCCCCCGGGCGATAAATAATGACCGATCCCTTAGCGAGGGTTCGAGTTATCGGAAGTCAGCTGTATTTCGTTGGGGTCAGGAGAGATACTGTAAATTCTTATCGATATTTTGGCGAATGATTCGGAACGCTGAAAAAACGCGCGACGTGTTTTGTACACGTTTTCGCTCAACATCTCCAAGATTTTCGCCGCTAGTAATTCACTGGTAATTATTAATACTGCAAATCTTTTTCGGTTAGTTTTTCTGTAAGGTGCCTCTCCGTGATTGTTTAGAGAAATTGTCTGTGACATCTCGATTCTTAAATCGTGGGATCCTCGATATATTTCCACATTTCCTCCCACGGTGTCTTAGGGTCGTTGATCACAATCACCTTGCGTTAAGTTTACTCCTTGTTTAAGATTCATGCTTGACGAAGTCGACCATTTTAGCCCATGATCAATCTGTTTTGAGAATAATCGGTTTAGAAATTTTAGGCTTGAAATATATTTGAAGACATCTTGGGGTAATGAGCATGTAATAAGGGCTTTGTACTTGCATTGAAAAATATTCAAATACTGAATTTCACGCATTTTGTCTTTCGCAAATTTATTTGGCATGATAGGGCTTCGCTTCGTACAATTAGGTAATCGGGATATCAACTTTACTAAGAATCGATCTGAAATTACTTGCCCTATTTCTCGCAGAATTGAAAGAAGAAATTGAATGTGGTTCCATCGATGTCAAAAAGTATCTCTTACGCTGTGTATCCTCTATGCAAGATACCTTTGGCGTTAAAGTTCAAGATAAAGAGGACAGTCTAAAGTTTTGCATATCTGGCAGTGACCAAGGACTGAAGAAGGCGGTTGTTAACATGTTTTCAGAAGGTATAGAAATATTAACGCATGTAGTTAATCAGCCAGGGTTAAGAAATTTTCTTAAAAGTGGCGATTTGGATGTACGCATAAAGAAGATTGAAGATCAAGAAAACTGTTTTATCCGAATTGAGGAGAATCCTGGGCCAAGGGCAACTACCTCCCAGTCCCATGCTGTAGACAGTGCCACTTCTGGATTTGTTACGTCATCTGGATCAAACACACTTGTTACAGCTCACGGACACCCGTCTTGGAAATCTGGAGATATTATGAAGGAGCAGGTAAGATAATGTATTACGTAATTGTTGCCTGGAGGGATTAAAAAATACTTGTGATATATACACTAGGCCTCAACATAAACATGCCTTAAAAATACCTCAGCTATAAAGCATTCATTTATCGCTTGTCTCACGATTGCCACTTAGATATTGATCGCACCCAAAAGGCTATTCACATAACACTTCACCCTAACAACATCAACAGTGACAGTGGAGTTTGAGATTCCTAAAGAGTGGATGCCTACGATCAGAAAACATAGCCACCACAACGGACCGCGGAGAGAACAGTTTCCTCCTCTAATAATGTGCCAACAATGCTTTGGATCGAAACCCACCAGCGAGGTTCGGGATACACCAGTCACTAACAAACATGGTGGTACAAAGAGCTCAGTAAATCGACGATAAGATGATTTACCAACAGAACGGGAACGTCAGTTGACGGCGGCGCGGGCAAAACTAACAGCTGGCTTGACCAATGGCACAACGACAAATTAGGCACCGGCAGTAGCGTTTAGTCCTTTCAGCGCGTTTTCCCGTCGTCAACTGGCCGTTCTGTTGCCAAATCAATCTACTATAAACCTGCAGTACGCGGATGAAACGTTGCGATCAATTTGTAAGTAACAATCGTGAGTCAAACGATAAACGAAACCCATCATACCCATTATCCACGATGAACAATATCTTTCATTACATATCTCCATGTTGTATTTGCGTAAATTTAAGATTCGTAATCAGGTGCACTGTTTCGTAGGAGGTCATCTGTACAGAAAGCAATGATGAGTGAAAGTGAAGAAATCAGCACTGTAGTAGGACCTCCAGTATTAACATTTACTGCGCGAAACGAGGGATGATTGTTAGTGACCAGAGGAGGCCGCAATTCGAACCTCCTGGTTGCTATTATACACGCTTGACACATATGTAACCAGAATTCTTTTGGACTTTTGCTAAAAAAAACTGCATGTAGAAAGTGTAGTCTTATTATGCGCGTTTGTACCTTCTACCACCTCGTCATCTGATGACACTCGTTTTGACCTCCTATTATGTGAGGCTTACACAAACCAACGGTTTTAAATTTCCATAAAACCCTGAAACTCGTCCGCATTCTCTAACTTTTGGTCATTACAAGTAATAGAAATATTGTTGCGGAACACAAGACAAAGTCCTGTCCAGTAATATCTAACGCATGTCTTTTCGATCTGCGGTTGCCTCCTCTTGAGGCCTCAAGAATTATGTTAGATGAGACAGCAAAAACCTGTGAACAAAGTCCACATACCACCTTAAAAGACATTCGTTTTTTTATTTATTAGATCCATTTTGAAATCACTGGTGATCCTTGCCATCTGATTGGCTCTCAGCTGTGTGATTTATTCACGATTCGCACTATTTTTTGCTCGAAATGACATTTGTTCTAAATCGCACCATTTTTGCTCTATATTGCATCATTTCTGTTTTGAATACAAAATTGGATGTAAAAGTCTTTTTGTTTCTTCTTTTACTAGATCCATAAAATTTTGGTACTGACCGAATTCGTAGATTTCAAAATGGCTCTAATTAAGTGGTAACCGAATCTCGTGTCGTGCAATTTTGGTCTGAAATCATACTTGTGATTTCAAATCGAACTAGCGCTGCGCGCTGGTCCGATTTTGAAATCCCGCGTGTGATTTCAAACCAAATTGCACTCCACTCAGTTCAATTACCATTTTTTATCATAAGGATCAAGCCCTTATAGGTGCTTTTAATCAGGAAGCAATGAAATTGCGGAATCCGACTAGTACGGCTCGAATCACAGACAGAACTGGTGGGATGGAAGTTGAAGTCATCCAAGGGGATATAACCCAAGAAACAACTGAGTCCATTGTGAATGTGATCGGTTGTAACATGGATATGTACAACTTTGGACAGCTTAGCAAAATAATTGCAGAAAAAAGTGGTCTCCAAGTACAACAGGAATGCAGGCAGATGGGAAGACAACGCCCGGGTTCAGCTGTAATGACAAGCGGTGGGCGTTTAGCTGTGAAGCACATCATTCACATTGTGACTGAATCGTCAGATAAGGCACATCTTCAGAGATGCCTAGAAGAAGGTCTTCGCCAGGCAGATACAAATGGCATCAAATCCATTTCTGTCCCAGCCATCGGAACAGGTGGCTATGGTCTCCCTGCCGCAGAATCGGCCCAGATGATTTTCCAGGCCTTGAAAAATCTGGGTGGAAACTTCAGGAATATCTCGAAAGTGCACATAGTTGTATTCCAGGCTAAAATGATGAAAGCTTTTCAACAACATCACAAGAAATCATTATTGACTCCTTTAACAGCTGTAGCTGCCCCCTCCATGTTTAGCATCCCAGTCAAAGTTGATGTGGTAACAGGTGATTTGACTAAAGAGTCGAGTGAAGCCATCGTGAATGTCATTGGTACAAATCTGAACATGAACAACTTTGGGCAACTTAGTAGAGTAATAGCCCAAAGTTGCGGTCCACAAGTGCAGCAAGAATTGAATCGAAAGGGAACTCAAGCCCCAGGTTCAGCTGTAATGACGAGTGGAGGAAGATTGAATGCAAAGCACATTATTCACATAGTGGCCGCAACTGCAGATAAAGAACACCTTCAGAAATGTCTTGAAGAGGGTCTTCGCCTGGCAGATGCAAAAGGCATTAAATCCATTTCATTTCCAGCGATCGGAACGGGTGGCTTTGGTCTATCTGCCTCAGAATCAGCCCAGCTGATCTTCCAGGCCTTGAACATGGGTGAAAACTTCGAAAGTATCTCTACAGTACGTATCGTTGTGTTTCAGACCCAGCTGGTACAAGCGTTTCGAAGAGAAAGTCCAATCAAAGTTGATGTCGTAAACGGTAATTTGACTCAAGAGAATAGCGATGCAATCGTAAATGTTGTCGGTACAGATCTGAACATGAAAAACTTTGGGCAACTAAGTAATGCTATAGCACAAACGTGTGGCCCACAAGTCCAACAAGAATTGAATCAAAAGGGAACCCAAGCCCCAGGTTCAGCTGTGATGACAAGTGGAGGAACATTGATGGCAAAGCACATTATTCACATAGTGGCCGCAACCGCAGATGAACAACACCTTCAGACGTGTCTTGAAAAAGGTCTTCGCCTGGCAGATGTAAATGGCATTAAAACCATTTCAATTCCAGCTTTCGGAGCACGTGGCTTTGGTCTTTCCGTCGCGGAATCGGCCAAGTTGATCTTCCAGGCCTTGAGGAACATCGGTGGTCACTTCAAGAGTATCTCTACGGTAAGCATCGTTGTGTTTCGGAAGCAAATGATTCAAGCGTTTCTACATGAGCAACAAAAATATCCATTGCCTCCTAGGATGACTGTTTCACAAGGTAGTTCAGGTAATATGAAAGCTGCGCACTCGTCAAGCAAACTAACTGTCAAGGTCTGGGTTACTGGTGGTAAACACGATGTTCAAAAAGCTATGGGTGAATTAAACGCATTGTTTTCCAGGGCGTGCATCACCAAAAAGGTCGATTTGGAAGGAATTGGTTCTCTTTCGGAAACTCAGGTCAACCAACTTAAATTAGAGGCGGACCAGTGCGATATGGAAATCACTATTGATAAGACTCTCCAAAGCATAAAGCTGCGTGGGTCTTCTGCAGACTTTCCTGACATGGTTACAAAGATAACGGACGAAATAAACAAAGGGATCAAAAAAGAAAAAAAGGAAAAAGAGGATGACAACGCAAATTTGGTTTCGAGCGTAGTTGAATGGAGTTATACTCTTAATGACGGAAGAAAGCAAGTATTTGACAAGACGACCAACGCCAACCTGGAGATGGCGCGTAGTAAACATGAATCTACTAAAACAGTGCTTGTAAATGGTAAGGAGTTCGTGATCGATCTGAAAAGTGAAACTGGTCGCTGGCGGGGAAAACGGATGAAGATAACTAGAACTGTAAAAGGAGGTAACTATTGTTGAAAACGTTTTTATTACATGTTTTGTTTTCGACTATCCCATTGCCTCCAGTACCTTATAGATTTTTGTAATGTAATTCAGTTATTTATTCATATATCAAAATTTCTTCTCTTCTGGTCCTTGTCAAGGTGTTTCTACCCATATCTACCTAACTAAAAATGTTTTGGACGTTTTTTACATGTTAAATGTGTATCAAACTAACGTTTATTTTAATCATAATAGAATTCGTATGTGTAATCCAATGGTGACGAGTGAAATTAGGGAATAATTTCACTTGCGTATACGAGTATACCATTTGATTACCTATTAATATCATGGGTGACGAATTACATTAGCAATCTTGGATTTTTGACATGTTTATCCTGGATCGTATCGATCGAGAACTCCAGTCTCTAAAATGTTTAGACCTTAAAATTGGCTTATCAAGTTCAGAATTTTTCGGCAAAATACCTGTTAGAATCCTTCTTGATGTTCTCTTGTGTGTTCAGGTTTTCTAAAGCGTCCTTTTGTGCCCTGACATCTTCATTCACGGCATTTTAAAACTTCGTCGCCATCTTGACATTGAGACATAGGGAAGGGTTGCCATGGCAATTTTGTAAATTAATTAAGGAGTAATTCGTCACCTATGATATTAAGAGATTTATCGTCATTTTTCGTGAATGATTACAAAAAGCCCAAGAGCCAATAAAAATTGAGATCGCTGGAAAAAAGATGATTTATTACAAGAAGAAAATGAGGAATTCCAAAAATTGTTTGTATTGTCTTCAATTGTGGCAGCAAAAGAAAAACAGTGAAAAACAGCTTTGAAGGAACATCAAAAGTGTTAATGACGTTAAGTGTTTTCTACAGATGCGTCGACCTTGAAAGATCTTTACTTTATCTTCAATCCCAGCATTCCATACAAGAGGGTGCGACTTAATTATTTGGGGCGTTTTGAAACATCTTTGTATTTCTTACTCCAAGCCTTTTTTCTGAAGGCCGCAGGGGACACCTGGGGTTCATTCTTATGCATTTATTTAAAGTGTATGCACGACATGCAATGACTGACATCGACAAGTTCACTAGATATTCATGACTGGATAAAATATGGATAATACACGAGTGCCAAGCAAGCTATGTAATGGTGGTTAGAGTAATTAAATATAATTCCACGCTTTCGTTCTGAAATCAGAAAGAACGATGTCCGTTTATTACTTTTGAACACAGCTAATACACCTTTTTACCTTGTATGTTTTGTTTTCTCAATTCAGACCACGCGATGTTCTCCACGGAATTTGCCTTTTGTTTTTCCATTTATTGTACATACATATGCACGTGGATGAACGTACACAAGACGAAATTTGAAAAAAAAAACAGTTCTCTGGGGTACCATCACGCGGTCTGAAATTGGAAAACAAAACTTACATGTACAAGCTAAAAACGTCTTTTTCGAGAAAGGTTGTCGAAAAAGTGCACTCGACAATCCCGAAAGGCATTGTGGGTGGTTTTGAATTCACTGCTCTTCAAAGGAATTTGAAAGAATGGCACGAGAGGTCATGGAAATATGTTTGCGAGTGCTAAAGAAAAGCAACAAAAGTAGGTTCAAAAGGTTGAGTTTGATCGTCCGGGTGAACGTAGTCCTGAATAGGACTGTTGTTGTTGACAGTGACTGACGTTTCGACAACCTGTGCGGTAGTCATCTTCAGAGTCAAAGTGAGTTGTATCACGTCAGTTGATGGTATTATACTCTGGTTATTGATCTGATTGGTCAATTATGTCGCGATGTTATTGGTCGTCTGTCAGTTAAGCCGTGATGTTATTGGCTATGAAGACTCGTAATCAGTGATTGGTGCGTTTCGATCCGTAGCTAAGAGGTTCGATAGCTACAGTCGTCATCAGGAACAGTGTATTGATCATATCCCATATTAGTACATACTAAAACAGTGGATAGTGTTTTTTTGCGCCCTCTGATTGGCTACTCAAAGTCGGATATCCAGTGCTATTCACTGACTGACCTCCAGCTCCTCCGAGCGAGCAACGCCAAACTCGCGTAGGTTACGAGCAAAATGGTTTCCCGCTTTGCTGCCGTAACAAACAAAGAAATTTCACAAATAATCAAACGAGCTGTTCCCGAAATACCCGAAGAAGATGACGAAATTAGGTTCGAAATTTTTTACAGCTGATTGCAGTGATGTGTATACAACCGGATTTTTAGACATGGCGACGGTCATAATTTCGATCGACAATCAAGATTCGACTAAGAGGTTACCAAGCAGCACGGTATTTTACCTTGAATATCCTACCGGAATCGAAGCACACGATCTGAAATTGATGTAATATATCAAACATGAGATGCAGTGTTTCATCACCAGATGAAACACCGAGAAGAGAGTTGAAAATACGACGCGCAGCGGAGTATTTTTGACGAACTTCGAGGTGTTTCATCTGGTGATGAAACACTGTGTCGAATGTTTGATATTTCTTCTCAAACAAAATCATTTTTGAAGGAGAAATTAAGGATGCAAATACTAAGCAGTGCTTCATCCGATTTCCAAACACTCATTAAACATTAATTTCCTTTGTATTTTCTTAATGAATTATTAATGAGTTTGAGAAGGTAGCTTGACAGTTTCTCTTGTAATTCAGGAAAAGGGGACCGTGATCCATTTGTTCCAAACACCAAACTTTAAGTTCCTATAGTGTTGGATTTTTAGTGGTTGTTCTAGATCGAGCAAAATTAGTAGGATCATGGTAGAACAAATGGACCGATGAATCCACTATGGACAAGGATTCATCGGTTCATTTGATCTACCACGATTCGAGTGAACTCGGATCACTGATCCTGATCCTGATCATCTCAAAGGAACGTACCCTCTGTGTTTCAAGGTTCGCTGCGCTTGAACTTCGAAGTTCGCGTGTTTTCACGTTTTAGTTCTCAAGTTTTGTTATGTTCTTAATGAAACATGGCAAGTTTAAATTCCTAACCAGGATTTCTAAGGTGAAAGCTTTCAAAGCCAGACGAAACACAGATATAGCAGGGTGAAAACGAATCGGTTCGTTCCCGCCAAAATTGGATGCTATGGTAAAGGTTTGATTGACGCCGAAGAAAAACCCAAAATCCTGAAACGTTTCTGACAACGTAGGTCGCGTTTTATCTGAAACAGGTGTAAATAAATGCATAACAATGAGCCCAAGATGTCTCCCGGCCCCGCGACCTTAAGAAGGGAAAGAGGAATAAGGTCGCTTAGAAAACCAAGGGGATATATGGGGCCAGGAACGTTTTCGAAATGACGGAAGACTTGTTTGCTCATTGTCCTGTTTTCTTTTCTTAAATTTTACTTGACGTCGTTAAGGTAATTTGAGTGAAGGGAATTCTCTTCCCGACAACTGGGCTCCAATGACAGGTCATGAAAAAGTGACTTTGGTAACATTAAACACAACCTCCATCGAGTATCAAGACGTCTTGCGCAAGTTTCAAGCAACTGTTCCTCACGTGAAAGTTCAGAGAATTGAAAGAGTACAGAATCCTGAACTCTACCGCACGTTCATGGGGAAAAAGCAAGAGATGGATAAAAGATGTGGGGGAAACAGTGAACGAAGGCTGTTCCACGGAACTGATGGGAAAAGCATCACCGCAATCAACAGCCAGGGATTTAACAGGAACTTCTGTGGAAAAAATGGTAGGTGCATCCAAGAGCCGATTACAGGTAATCGGCTCCTGGTGCATTTGATTACAATTTCCCTTAGGACGGCTGTAATACTCAGGAGAAGAGGAAAAGAAAGGTTATGTAAACAAGGTGTGTTATGGGAGATGTGCAAATGGTGAATAAAAAATGTCTTTAATTGCTCATTAGATAAAAATACATATCCAATGTTACAGGATAAAAAGATTAAAAGTGCAGCTAAATTACAATAAAATAAAAAGATTAAAATTGCCAAAAACTACTTACACATGTCTGATATAAAATATCATGAAAGATTGTATTTAAAAATTAATTTATTTACAAATGTGTTCTTATAACGTTCGGTGTTTATCTTGGGCCTTTGGAAGCTTTTACGTCTAAGATCGCTTTATCTTGTTTTTGTAGTAATGATCTAGTATTTAACTGTGTAGATGTTGTGGTTCAATTTTATCCTTGGTTTAAATTTTATTTTCTTTTGTTTCTGGGTATGGTAATGTGTGATAATGAGTTTGAAACAAAAGAAAATAAAACTTAAACCTAGGATAAAATTGAACCACAACATACTTCAGGCTGACTTAGGGTCTACAGGAAGCACGCTTTGTTATTGTTATTTTTAATGTTATAGGGACGCGCTATGGACATGGTGTGTACTTTGCCAGAGATGCCTCATATTCGCTTAATTATACAGGAGGGGCAAGTGGTGGTGGTGCAATGTACCTTGCCCGGGTTCTGGTGGGAGAGTATTGTCAAGGACGTCCTGGCATCCTCCAGCCTGACCCCAAAGACAAGCGCAGGATCGACATTCTATACGATTCGGTAGTTGACCGTACATTAAATCCTACAGTCTTTGTCGTTTTCAACGATGCTCAATGTTATCCTGAGTATATCATAAGGTTTTAGAAAATTTAGAAAACTGTCGGCTGTAGACTAGGAGATAGTTCTTCCTGTATAACTACATTGGAACTTGTATTTATTAGCCTTGTATTGAGCAACGATGACCGAACAGTCATGTGCTTTTATAGACACACTTTTGCGCTCATATAAATGCTGCGTTTGTTACCTGTATTAAGCTAGCGGCTACAAACTAGCTGTCCACGTACTGTTTTTGCTACTTTTTAAAGTAATTTTACTTACGTTTAGCTGGTTCAACCGTAACCGTTAGAGAGACGTTAACATTTTTTGCTGTGAACTGCGTGCTATAGTTTATGCTATAGAGTAGAGTATATGAAAGTTAGTAGACATCTTTAGCATCAGGTTTTTCATGGGAAACCGCAAACCTGAAAATGTCACGTGACCACGGTCTAACGGTCGCGTTTGCAGTTTGCAGTTCACGTTTGAACGGTAGGAAGAGCTTCAAGCGGTTAGTGACGAAAAACACAATGGCGCCAATAAACAATAAACGCCTTGCTGAAATTTGAAATCCCGGCAACGCGAAACTGCAAACGCCTCACTGCAAACTGCAGTTTCCCATGAAAAACCTGATGCTAAAGATCTCTACATTTATGTAACGGTACAGCTAGGATTAAGGTCAGTTAATAACTTCGCCATGAAAAGTGAGCTCACTCGGAGCCATTCGCACACAAGTTAGTCTCACGTGCACTTGAATTTAAATGAGCTTAAAGTGCACCCGAAAATGATGAGGAATATAAGTTCCTCCAACAAGCCATTTGCACGAAATTTTACTACCACTGCCAGTATTAATCATAGATTAGTGGTCATTAGTGAGTGCGGTTTGGTTTTCTTAGCTTAAAAGATCACCCAAACCTATTTTTAAAAAATAAAAATTCTTTGTATGCTCTCTACATGGACTGCTTCATATTTTTACAATGTCTTATTTAACTTCGTGTACGGTCAATAAAAATGACAAGTAGATCGTCGAAATAAAGCCTGTCACATCACTACAAGCGTTCAAAAGCATGGTAATCTCAAAGGTAATCCTGGCTTTTTGCCTGACCTATTTTTAAAAAATAAAAATTCTTTGTATGCTCTCTACATAGACTTGCTTCATATTTTTACAATGTCTTATTTAACTTCGCGTAGGGTCAACAAAAATGACAAGTAGATCGTCGAAATAAAGCCTGTCACATCACCACAAGCGTTCACAAGCATGGTAACCTCAAAGGTAATCCTGGCTTTTTGCCTGACACAACTTGAAGTTTAGAATAATCATAGCGAAAATGATCATGTCAATGAACCAGACGGCGCTTAAGGTACAAAACCTTTTGCCACTGTGCAAACTGTTCATTTTAATTCTGTTCGTTTAGGTCAGTTCATCATGTTTCCAACCTATAGAGCGTTTTCACATGACGTCACGGAGGCCATATTCGTGTTCCTAAACAATGAAATGGGCAGGGGCAGATCCAGGATTTTTCTAAGGAGGGGGTGCACCACTAACTGACTGATGACGTAAAAAATTTTAAAAGCGAATACGAAGAAGAGGGCTTTTGACTAGGAAATAACATAATGTGAACTGCTGAGAATACATATCAAACGATAGAACAGATTTTGTATGTCTGTCAAGCGACTGCACAGTGTTAATTAGAAAGCGGCCGCAGGTCATCCCAGGGGGTGCGCACCCCCTGCACCCTCCCCCTAGATCCGCCATTGATGGGGGCCATGTTGGTGTTCCAAACAAGTCCTGCGGGAGTTGAACTCTTTTCTAATGAAAACGGGCCTAATACATTTGCATAGATGTCGGCCACCTGAGTGAAAACGCTCAAAAGAGCGTTTTCACATGACGTCAAGCCGGCCATCTTGGTGTTTCAAATTTTTATGTGAAATCTTTCTTGTTCCCATCAATTTGCATAGACCGTGGCCACGTGAGTGAAAACTCTTTATATTCATTATCTACAAAATCCCGCGACAGTGATTGATTATGCATTACATGTACAACCTAAGAAGTACGCGGGTAAAATTCTGCAAAAGCACTTTATTCCGGAATATTTTGCGTGCAAGTGAGAAAAATACTGCGACCACATTAATAGCCACATTAATAATCGGTATAAAATCTCTTGACGTAACAATGTAGTAACACTGAGAAAGGTAGGAACTTGCCGAACTCAAACGACTCCGTGCTTATCCACATCGGTTGTATCATCTGGGTGTGACCATGATTTAACCAGGGTGATGCGCATGTACATAAAAAAAATATCGGCCACAATGCAGCACAAAGAGGAAAAAACTAGCTAAAGAGGTCATCCCTGAGTACCACAGGATAACCAAGAACCACAAGATTCCCAAGATGAGGACTTGCGTTCTTCTAACGTCGAACGAAAAAAGATTGGCACAAAATTGGCATTACAAAATTGAAATATGAAAGAAGACACAAAATTAATTCTTGTCTAAGGGCCTGTTTACATGGAGTGGGGGACCCCGGTCTAGTGGGGTTGGTTTCTTTTGTTTTCACGCTCTGTGGGACACAAAACAAAAGAAACTTACCCCACTAGACCGGGGTCCCCCACTCCATGTAAACAGGGTCTAAGTAGTAAAAAGACGTCGTCGTGCAAATGGCCGACTAAATAACTACAAGAAAAATTCCACGAAAAATCAGTTCTTCATGACGCCCTTTTATTTCCATCAAACAGAACTTACTTACTGAACTGATAGATATAATTTAGAACCTTTAAATTAATCTAATAATAAGATAAATTAAATTTTTAAAGATTTATATATACCTTCAATTTCACGCAATAACATATATTTCATGTAGTCAAGAGATTATCTCCTCTTGATATTGCATGTTTGTGAAAAATAATATTTCAATAAATTTCATCCAAAATTGTCGAGCGAAATTTGGAGTTAAATTTAACTTATATAAAAATCAGCGCAACTAAACATTTCAAAATAATTTTAATCATTTCACTGATTTTCTTATTTAAATATTTGGAATCTGGATTACTTTTACTTAAACTTTAAAAAACATGTCTTGCAACGAGGCGTTACACAAACTAAGGGTCTGATAATGATCCCGGTATTGTGTTTAAATGAGAAGTTTTAAACCAAACATCTGGCTTGAATTGTTTAGTAGATAAATACCAAACACGAAATTTGTCTTCACGACACAACGAGCGGCCTAAGAAACGAGCGGGAAAGTAGAAAACGCTAGATTTTCCTAGGAAGATTTTCTTTGTGACAGTTTTGAAAGATCTTTCGTCACCACCTGGACACGATTCGTCCCAGTATATTGGGCTGAAGTGTTAACACTGGAAAATTTCCAGCACGATGAACTAAGACCTTCGTTGACCCGTCTGACACGCCTTTTATACGTATGAAATCATGAAATCATTGAATTTTTTTCTATGAATAAAGACGAAATAGGGCTTAAGCCAGATCTGATCTCGGCTAACTGAGCCAGCTCGGTCAACCGAGCCCTTCTGGTTTTGACGTAGTTCTGACGAAGTCGGAGTCGCAGTTGTAAAAGGGCCGTTTGTGACTACACATCGGAGTTGTATGCGGATCTTAAAAGCACGGAATCAGAGTCACGAGGATCAGAACGCTATCACTTTCTTCCGACGTCAGCTATGACTCCGTCGCTTATGACCTAGATTTTCTGAGTCGCGAACAGAAGCAGAAGAATAAGCCAATCACAATGCTCGTTTCCAAGCGTTGTGATCGGTTCATCCCTATATTACGCTTCAGCTAGCGACTCCGACAACAGTCTAATATTCCCTCTGAGATCGTGAGCGACGGCGCCGCACACCGAATCGGAACGCTGATCTCCAGTGGTTCACAGCGCTCTGCACTCCTGTTTACGTCTCCCACTCCGACCTAATAGCTCGTGAATACTAGCGTAAAATAAATGTTAAATAATTATGCAACCTGGACGTGCAGTGGTAAAAGAAGAATAACTTTGCACGTGTCCAAGTAGTTAGTTCTAAGCTACCTGTGAATTATAAGGGCAAAACCTACAAAGTATAAACACTGAGCACAGCTTACGTTGCAGCCGGCCCACGCATCGTCTAAACCATTTGACAGAAGATTTAGAGTGCCTGTGACGCAGGCTAACTGAGCATAGTCTCCTAGGGTCGTCACACAACGCTCCTACGTGACGACCGTAAGGATGGATGCGAAGGAGACTTGACTGAGGACGGCTTTCAAAAGCATTCAATAAATAGGTCTGGAGATTCTTCGACGATATGTGAATTTTGACATGTAATGGGGTTCTATGCTTATGGAAAACACACTTCCTAGGGCTAATTTGCTTCAACAAAATTAGTTACAGAAACGTACAAAACGCGCAGGGCAATAATTAACTTACGATTTAGCAGCTTTTAAACTGACTCACGCTTTAAAAGGCTTTCAACCTAGAGAGCGAACTGAAAATCGTTTTCGACCGCTCGAGTTTCCAGTAACAACAGGAATTTCCAAATTGACCTCTTGGCGCAAACGAAATCAAAACCAAAAGTTGTTTGACCGCGAAAGTTAGAGCTAACATCAATCCTCGCTTTGTTAATAAGGCTACAAGATAAAAAGAAGATGGCCTGCATCACGTTGTAGAATAAGCCAATCCAAGGATAAAAACGTTTCTACTAATACTACTACGATACTACTAATTTTCATCCACTGTCCTAAAGTTCAGATAAAACTTACTTAAGTTTAAAAACAGAATCGCTCAATAATTACAAATATTATTTTCTCCATGGACAAGATCAAGAATTGATACAACAGAACGAGCCGACAAACACCCAACGCAAAGTCGTGTGTTATACCGCTGAATTCAAAAATTGTGCAGCCCATTCAATTGCTACAACAGTGTTAGATAACTCTTCCTCAACTAATGCCCGGGTTCCATTGTTGACGGCGTCCACTAAAGCATCATGGAGGCCTGGAAACGTGGCACTTGCGTAGGAGTTGAAAAGACTTGGCGCGAAAATAGAATGCCTGGAAAAACGGGAGAAGAG